AAATCTCCTTTGCAATAAAAATAAGTTAAACTTTTTGCGAACTAAAATGAAAGTGAGTTTTGGCTGGCCATATAAAAAAAACGATGATTTTGTTACTGTATATCCTTGTCACGATCGTCTAAGGAAGCGGACCAAGGCGCAGCGTGTTGAGCGAACATGTTGACTTTATTTAATTAAAGCAACCACGAAACCAACAAAACAAATGACGACAGTGAAGTCCACAGTGACAATGACTGACTAGGAACAAAAACCCACAACCCCAAGGTGAAAACACACAGTATAAATATGGCTCCCAATCAGAGATAACGAGCCGACAGCTGACACTCGTTACCTCCGATTGGGAGTCACTCAATACAAACATACAACAACCTAGAAATAGACACAACAGAACTACCAACATTGAAATAAACACATAGAATGCACACACCCTGGCTCAACATAACGAGTCCCAGAACCAGGGTGTGACAATCCTATTAAGACTCTATATCAACGTTCACTAAAGTTCACCAGCGCATTAAACTATTATTTTGACTGTGCTGTGGGTTGGTGTAAAAATCCTATCTCTGGATTTAATGGGCAATAATAAAGAACATTTGTGATGGTTCACTGTTGCATTTTCTTTGTGGCTTAGTTTATAAAATCTAATTTACAAATGCAATCATTAATAGAAAAAGCTCATTGTAAATGTGGCTAGCGTTATCATCATGTGAGAGACAAGTCATAAACCCAGGCACAGTCACAACCTGCCAAAAAGTGAGAATCCTTTACACACACTGTACCTTATCCCTATATCCACAAACGCATGCCCATACCCTGCAAACAATTAGTCGTTAGGACGTCCCCGGGACGTCACGAAATGGTTGCCTGAAGGTTGCCTGAAGGTCTTGCCTGAAGGTCTGGAGGTCTTGTCTAGTTCCCGGTTTGTCCCGGGGACGTCCCGGAGGACATTTCTAGGACTTTCTTGGGATGCTGGGTCATGGTCCCCTCAAGGTTTTTGTCTATTTCCCGGTTTGTCCCGGGGACGTCACATGATGGTCGCAAAGAAACGTTCTCCCCCCAAAGAAAGACAATCTAACCAGGGCACGTGCACCCTAGTTTCATTACACATCACCCCTTGTTACTGTTGCCAAGTACATCAAGGCCCGGATTGGTGAACCACTGATCCAGTTACAGCTCTTTGGCAATGATAGAGACACCCACACACAAACAGTGCTTTTAACATTGTGTTTTCAAGTGACATATTTGACACACAGTACATGACTACACTGTGTATGTGTATTCATACAGTAATTATCATTTAACATGTCCTAACCTGGAATTTGAACTCACAACCTCTTGGTTCATAGCATTCTAATCTTCGCCACCATGTCCGTATCAATGAGTACGGTTACATGCACACAATAATGTGATTATTGTGGATAGTCAGCATAATATAATAGTTCAATTAAAACGTTTACATGCTTTGCAAGAAGAATGATTCCTGTAATAATCCTGTTTATATGGGCACATCTGAAATCAGGCTACCTGATGGCACTCTGATAAATGCAGAAAATCGCCAATCAAAATAAACGTTTTACCACAGCGACCATGTAATCTTTGGAAAGCATATTTGATTCTGAGTTCGGACATATAAAGCTTGTACAGTAAAGGAAAAAAATATTTGATCCCCTGCTGATTTTGTACGTTTGCCCACTGACAAAGAAATGATTAGTCTATAATTTTAATAGTAGGTTTATTTGAACAGTGAGAGACAGAATAACACAAAAAAATTCAGAAAAATGCATCTCAAAATGCATTTTAATGAGGGAAATAAGTATTTGACCCCCTCTCAATCAGAAAGCGTTCTGGCTCCCAGGTGTCTTTTATACAGGTAACAAGCTGAGATTAGGAGCACACTCTTAAAGGGAGTGCTCCTAATCTCAGCTTGTTACCTGTATAAAGGACACCTGTCCACAGAAGCAATCAATCAATCAGATTCCAAACTCTCCACCATGGCCAAGACCAAAGAGCTCTCCAAGGATGTCAGGGACGAGATTGTAGACCTACACAAGGCTGGAATGGCCTACAAGATCCTCGCCAAGCAGCTTGGTGAGAAGATGACAACAGTTGGTGCGATTATTCGCAAATGGAAGAAACACAAAATAACTGTCAATCTCCCTCGGCCTGGGGCTCCATGCAAGATCTCACCTCGTGGAGTTGCAATGATCATGAGAACGGTGAAGAATCAGCCCAGAACTACACGGGAGAATCTTGTCAATGATCTCAAGGCAGCTGGGACCATAGTCACCAAGAAAACAATTGGTAACCCACTACGCCGTGAAGAACTGAAATCCTGCAGCGCCCGCAAGGTCCCCCTGCTCAAGAAAGCACATATACATGCCCGTCTGAAGTTTGCCAATGAACATCTGAATGATTTAGAGGAGAACTGTGTGAAAGTGTTGTGGTCAGATGAGACCAAAATGGAGCTCTTTGGCATCAACTCAACTCGCCGTGTTTGGAGGAGGAGGAATGCTGCTAACATCACAGTACAGTTGAAAAATATATGGCAAATAGAAATCCAATATGGATGGTATTAAGAGATAGATGGGTGGTGTTGAACGGAGTTGAAGGATGGGACTAATAACATCTAACAACAAGCAATAACTACAAGATAACTAATAATGTAAGCATACTGTGTCCATAATAAGCATAATAAGTATATAGGTTATAGGTTGAGAGCTTTTGTGAAAGAGCACAGTTAGAAAGATATGGTATGGCATATTCAGTGGGGGAAAAAAGGTATTTAGTCAGCCACCAATTGTGCAAGTTCTCCCACTTAAAAAGATGAGAGAGGCCTGTAATGTTCATCATAGGTACACGTCAACTATGACAGACAAAATGAGAAAAAAAATTCCAGAAAATCACATTGTAGGATTTTCAATGATTTTATTTGCAAATTATGGTGGAAAATAAGTATTTGGTCAATAACAAAAGTTTCTCAATACTTTGTTATATACCCTTTGTTGGCAATGACACAGGTCAAACGTTTTCTGTAAGTCTTCACAAGGTTTTCACACACTGTTGCTGGTATTTTGGCCCATTCCTCCATGCAGATCTCCTCTAGAGCAGTGATGTTTTGGGGCTGTCGCTGGGCAACACGGACTTTCAACTCCCTCCAAAGATTTTCTATGGGGTTGAGATCTGGAGACTGGCTAGGCCACTCCAGGACCCTGAAATGCTTCTTACGAAGCCACTCCTTTGTTGCCCGGGCGGTGTGTTTGGGATCATTGTCATGCTGAAAGACCCAGCCACGTTTCATCTTCAATGCCCTTGCTGATGGAAGGAGGTTTTCACTCAAAATCTCACGATACGTGGCCCCATTCATTCTTTCCTTTACACAGATCAGTCGTCCTGGTCCCTTTGCAGAAAAACAGCCCCAAAGCATGATGTTTCCACCCCCATGCTTCACAGTAGGTATGGTGTTCTTTGGATGCAACTCAGCATTCTTTGTCCTCCAAACACGACGAGTTGAGTTTTTACCAAAAAGTTCTATTTTGGTTTCATCTGACCATATGAAATTCTCCCAATCCTCTTCTGGATCATCCAAATGCACTCTAGCAAACTTCAGACGGGCCTGGACATGTACTGGCTTAAGCAGGGGGACACGTCTGGCACTGCAGGATTTGAGTCCCTGGCGGCGTAGTGTGTTACTGATGGTAGGCTTTGTTACTTTGGTCCCAGCTCTCTGCAGGTCATTCACTAGGTCCCCCCGTGTGGTTCTGGGATTTTTGCTCACCGTTCTTGTGATCATTTTGACCCCACCGGGTGAGATCTTGCGTGGAGCCCCAGATCGAGGGAGATTATCAGTGGTCTTGTATGTCTTCCATTTCCTGATAATTGCTCCCACAGTTGATTTCTTCAAACCAAGCTGCTTACCTATTGCAGATTCAGTCTTCCCAGCCTGGTGCAGGTCTACAATTTTGTTTCTGGTGTCCTTTGACAGCTCTTTGGTCTTGGCCATAGTGGAGTTTGGAGTGTGACTGTTTGAGGTTGTGGACAGGTGTCTTTTATACTGATAACAAGTTCAAACAGGTGCCATTAATACAGGTAACGAGTGGAGGACAGAGGAGCCTCTTAAAGAAGAAGTTACAGGTCTGTGAGAGCCAGAAATCTTGCTTGTTTGTAGGTGACCAAATACTTATTTTCCACCATAATTTGCAAATAAATTCATTAAAATTCCTACAATGTGATTTTCTGGATTTCTTTCCCTCAATTTGTCTGTCATAGTTGACATGTACCTATGATGAACATTACAGGCCTCTCTCATCTTTTTAAGTGGGAGAACTTGCACAATTGGTGGTTGACTAAATACTTTTTTTCCCCACTGTAGAAGCAAACCGGATGGACATCATGAAAATTATCGGAGAGGTTGAGGGTAGAGGAAGTTCAGGAGTAAAAAAACCCAAAATAGAATTATTTTTGTAATTATTATTGTGTCCATAAAATGTATATAGTATGCATAAGCTGGAAGTAGAGGCCTAAGCATTGTTGTTCACTAGTTTACTCCAATTAGGGAAGGGGTGGTGGGGTTGGAAGATAATAAAGGGAAATATATTTTTTTAAAGGATGTGTATGTGTATGTATGTGTGTATGTATGTATGTATGTATGTGTATGTGTGTATGAAATAAATAAAACATTTAAAAATCATTTTTAAAAAAGTACTGAGTAAAGGGTCTAAATACTTATTTGAATGTGATATTTCCAGTTCTTATTTATTTATAAATTTTTTGCAAAAATGTCTACAGACCTGTTTTTGCTTTGTCATTAAGGAGTATTGTGTGTAGATTGATGAGTGGGAAAAACAATTTAATCAATTTTAGAATAAGGCTGTAACGTAACAAAATGTTGAAAAAGTCAAGGGGTCTGAATACTTTTCCGAATGCACTGTACAATCACATTAGTAAGTTCTCTAAAAACGGTGAAAACGGACATTCAAGAACATGGAGACAACATGAGAATACTACCCATAGATGACATCATGGTTGATCTTACCCAGCAGTGTAATGATGCATCCCAGAATGGCGACCAGGGCCCCTGTACTGAGGCCGGCAGGAAGTGTGTATGCCACGGCTGCACACGATTGGGCCACACCGTCCGAGTCACAGTCACACACGTTCACTGATAGGGTGTTGGTGCTACTGAGGGCAGGGCTTCCACTATCGACAATCAACACGGGCAGTCGGTACAGCATCTGCTCCCGTCTACGAAACCCTCCACGTTTCGTTACGATAGACGCAGTGTTGTCTGGAAGGGAGGGTCATGAACATGATCAGTCAGGAGGAAGTGGAAGAGTATTTAGAGATCAAATCCTGCATAGTCTGTGATGACCCTACAGACTGTGGATCAACCCTTGAATGATTGATATCATCTACAATTTAAAGCAACTGTTAATATAGGAGATTTCTGTATCTCACAAATCACATATGCTATAGCTGCAGCGACTACTTTATACTGTGTTTTGTTTTTATGCTTTGTTTTTGCTTTGTTTTTGATGCTTTGTACTACAGTCCGCAAAAACACTACAGTAAATACTACAGTCAGCAAAAACACCACAGTAAATACTACAGTATACAACAGTCCGCAAAAACACTACAGTAAATACTACAGTGTACTACAGTCTGCGAAAACACTACAGTAAATACTATAGTATATACACTACTCTTTCTTTTACACCAGTATTTATACTATAGTAAACTGTAAATACTACAGTATATTATAGTATTCCTACCATAGGATATATACACAATAGTATTTTTTCAATTATGAATCGTAACAACTGAGTAATAGAAGAGAAAGCTCAGAGGCATAATGTCAGGGTAGTCCAGACCAGAAATGTTTTACAGAAGGGGAAAATAAACTTAGCAAAAAAAGAAACGTCCTCTCACTGTCAACTGCGTTTATTTTCAGCAAACTTAACATGTGTAAATATTTGTATGAACATAACAAGATTCAACAACTGAGACATAAACTGAACAAGTTCCACAGACATGTGACTAACCGAAATTGAATAATGTGTCCCTGAACAAAGGGGGGGGGGGGGGGGGGGGGGTTTGGTCAAAATCAAAAGTAACAGCCACCAGCTGCATTACGTACTGCAGTGCATCTTCTCCAAATGGACTGCACCAGATTTGCCAGTTCTTGCTGTGAGATATTACCCCACTCTTCCACCAAGGCACCTGCAAGTTCCCTGACATTTCTGGGGGGAATGGCCTTAGCCCTTAGATCCAACAGGTCCCAGACGTGCTCAATGAGATTGAGATCCGGGCTCTTTGCTGGCCATGGCAGAACACTGACATTCCTGTCTTGCAGGAAGTCCCGCACAGAACGAGCAGTATGGCTGGTGGCATTGTCATTCTGGAGGGTCATGTCAGGATGAGCCTGCAGGAAGGGTACCACATGAGGGAGGAGGATGTCTTCCCTGTAACGCACTGCGTTGAGATTGCCTGCAATGACAACAAGCTCAGTCCGATGATGCTATGACACACCGCCCCAGACCATGACGGACCCTCCACCTCCAAATCGATCCCGCTCCAGAGTACAGGTCTCGGTGTAACGCTCATTCCTTTGACGATGAACGCGAATCCGACCATCACCCCTGGTGAGACAAAACCGCGACTTGTCAGTGAAGAGCACTTTTTGCCAGTCCTGTCTGGTCCAGCGAAGGTGGGTTTGTGCCCATAGGCGATGTTGTTGCCGGTGATGTCTGGTGAGGACCTGCCTACAAGCCCTCAGCCCAGCCTCTCTCAGCCTATTGCGGACAGTCTAAGCACTGATGGGGGGATTGTGCGTTCCTGGTGTAACTCGGGCAGTTGTTGTTGCTCCCTGTACCTGTCCCGCAGGTGTGATGTTCGGATGTACCGATCCTGTGCAGGTATTGTTACAGGTGGTCTACCACTGCGAGGACGATCAGCTGTCCGTCCTGTCTCCCTGTAGCACTGTCTTAGGCGTCTCGCAGTTCGGACATTGCAATTTATTGCCCTGGCCACATCTGCAGTCCTCATGCCTCCTTGCAGCATGCCTAAGGCACATTCACGCAGATGAGCAGGGACCCTGGGCATCTTTCTTTTGGTGTTTTTCAGAGTCAGTAGAAAGGCCTCTTTAGTGTCCTAAGTTTTCATAACTGTGACCTTAATTGCCTACCGTCTGAAAGCCGTTAGTGTCTTAACGACCGTTCCACAGGTGCATGTTCATTAATTGTTTATGGTTCATTGAACAAGCATGGGAAACAATGAAGATCTGTGAAGTTATTTGGAATTTTACGAATTATCTTTGAAAGACAGGGTCCTGAAAAAGGGACGTGTCTTTTTTTGCTGAGTTTATTTTGTGCAAATGGCCATGATACCGTTCGTTAGAAATTAAATGATACTTTCAAACTGGGTCATTACATTTTTGCCTCCACACTTCTAAACCTGCAATTAACATTCATATATATTCTTATCCATGAAATGGATTTAAAGGAAAAAGAAACATGAATAAGCCATTGGAATCATCCTCAACAACGTTGTTTCAGCAACTACTTTCAATCAAAAATGTCTTAATTTTTAATGTTTGAAAATCCAACATTTATGAAGAACACTTCTCAATCCATAAATACAGTACTGTTATGGCCATCGTTGACCCTGATCTTACATACCTTACAAACCCTGATCCCTTACATAAGGGGCGGCAGGTAGCTTAGTGGTTAAGAGCGTTGTGCTAGTAACCAAAAGGTTGCTGGTTCTAATCCCCAAGCTGACTAATTGAAAAATCTGTCGGTGTGCCCTTGAGCAAGGCACTTAACCCTAATTGCTCTGGATAAGAACCTCTGCTAAATGACTAAAATGTAATAAAAAATGTTCCTCACCTTCTTCTCTGTTTTCAGTAATGGACTGTTGTGAGATAATTGGTGTAATTTGACGAGGAGGAGACACCTACCTTTGTTGTCTCGGAGAGTGAAGTTGGTGTTGCCGGCCACAGACGCAGGTAGGGCAAAGTAGAAGCGATGACCACTGGCAGGCTCATCCTTGTCCACGGCGCTGATAGTCTGGATGACCTGTGGAACACATAACCACTCTGATTGGCTGGACCTTAAAACACACAACCACTATGATTGGCTGGACCTCTAATGACACAACCAAATTGTGAAGCTGATTGATTGATACAATTGCCTAATTTGTTGGGGCTAAGAGTTCATGAATCCATATCCGTAGTTTCTTTGTTTTAGTCCGGCATCTCCATAAGAATTAAATGTGCTGGTTGAACATGGAAAATTACATTGCCTTCACAGGTTTGAATTAATTTACAAAGTAGTATAAATCTCGCTTAACACAACGCCAATGCAATAGTGTAACTAAAATGGTGCAAATAAACCAGATTTAGATTTATAAGAAACATTTATTTTATAACATTGGCTATGATTTTACATCACTTATCACTTGCAGTAAGTGCTTATTTGGCAAGAGGAGCCTACTGCAGCCTTTTAGGGATGAGATTTTCTTTGAAACATAATATATAGTCGGGTTTCTTCTCAATTTACAATGACAACTTAGAAATGCCCTACACTATGACATAAATATTAGCATGAAACCAACATAAATACTGTAAATCCACATATACATCCATAGAACCAATTCATAACACCTAACAAATCAATGTGGATCCAGATCTTGCCCTGAGGATGTAGGCTTACTTTAAAATCCAAACCAATCCAAGTCCAACAGAGTCAGGCATTAATAATATTCAATTTTATTCACAACGTATCGGATGGACATTTCACATACAAAGGGCGTATACTTTCCAAGTTACAGTATTTCCTTTATAACATTTTTAATGACATCACAAAATAACAACCCAATTGACATTAGTGTTCTATAGACGCCTCTGACCATTCCCCATGTTCTATGTTAGAAATGTTGTTACAGTATTCGCTTTAGAACGTGTTAGATTTTCGGCTGGAAAAGTGTGTGGAGACAAAGAACATTCCTTTGTGAATTTGGAGAGGGAGAGAGAGTCTTCTGCTTTAATTTTCGACAGGGCGTGAGGTGTCAAAACCCCACAGTTCCCTCCTCCCCCCTCTGCGGGTGGGAGGGGGTCTGGTTGAAGCTCCCCCTGCAAACCTGATCTGACCATTTGGATCCTCCCAGGACAGTAATTTCGCATGTTAGAGGCAAAACAAAACAACTGTTTAGTTGGATCTTACTTTTAGGAGCTTTTAAAGGAACATCTTTGTATGTTTAATCCTCTTTCTCTTTTGCTTTACCTTAATAGGGAAATGGTGTTATTATCTGCTGTACACTGAATGTTATAAATAAAGCAAAACCTATTGTTCATATCCCCTATACAGTGCATTTGGAAGGTATTCAGACCCCTTGACTTTTTTCTCATTTTGTTACGTTACAGCCTTATTCTGAAATTGATTGAATAGTTTTTTTCCCTCATCAATCTACACACAATAACCCATAACGACAAAGCAAAAACAGGTTTTTAGAAATGTTTGCAAATGGATTAATAATATATAACTGAAATACGACATTTACATAATTTTCAGACCCTTTACTCAGTACTTTGCAATCCCAGGGCCATCATAGTGAATGATATACACAGCCATTCATACATCTACAGTCTAGCATAGTGTTCTGTCACCACTGCTTCAAATCAAGTCGTCCAAATTTGGAGCCAGCTAGAATAATTAAAACCTCAACCTGAAGACATCCCCCAAAAACCATGGACCACATCCAAAATAGCTGTTTTCACATGTTGACCTTAAATTGAACTGTTTAGTTTACATGTTAACATCAAATTTTCACTTGTGAGGAGAATTAGATGTTTTCACCTCATGTGAACTGCAGTTTACAGTTTCACATGTTAAAAACTTTCACATGTGAAAACTGGATATACAGTTTCACGTGAAAAACATTCAAATGTGAAAATCTCACTTTTACATGTGGAATTGCAAGATCACGTGAAAAAAAAATCACGTGAAAATCTAATTTGCAGTTTCATATGTGAAAAACTTCCATGTGATTGTTGAACTTGCAATTCCACATGTGAAAGTGAGATATTCACGTGAAAGTTTTCACATATGAAACTGCAAATAAGATTTGTACATGTCAATGTTTTCCACATTTGTAATTGTAGATTCACATGTGGGGTTGAAATAATGTTATTCTCCTCAAATGTGAAAAGATTGTCTTACCATTAGGGATGTGACAAATTGAAAATTGTTCTTAACGTTTAAACGGCAATTTTTTATCCGTTTTCTGTTAAAGAGTAACTTTCATGAAAGAAATCGTTAACAAAATGTTTTAGGTTTAGTTATATTGAAACACGTCAATTATGGTCTTCATTTTGACAGCTTGTAACAAAAGTGATATATTTTGATATTTAGGGAGTGAACATCTGACCTCTCTGAACTGAAAATGGTGGCCCCTCCCTTCAGCAAAATATATTTTACCTAAACCCTCCCTGAACGCTTAAAAAAAACAAGTGACCCTCCCCTATACCCAAAATAATAATTTAAACAAAGTGGATAGCAGAGAACATGTCTACCATTTACCCTCACTTGGACAGACTAGAGCCTTAGATATGCAGTTTTAGAAACAGTTTTTCGTCCTGTAAGCATTACATGGCAACGCACACATTTTAATAGTGCACAGGGCTGCAGGCCAGAAGGTTGTGGGTTCGCAGACCACCATGGACAAGAGTAGGGGTGGAAAGATCTCCTTTATAGTAAAAACATTACAGGAATCTATCATCATATTTGCAGGACCGAGAAAAAAATCCCTTTTATAAACATTTCATGCAATTCTACATAATTTTACATATTAGCAGAATATTTTTTTTACACCACAAATATTACTGAAATGACAGGCTAGGAATAGACAGAAAGAAAGGCTTATGTGTTCATCGTATCATATTTCTCCAATGCCAAATCAGTGTCTTGTTTGCAACGAAACTGTCCATGTTTGCAATTAATTAAATCTGAGACATAATTAGGAATCTGAGCATGGTACTTTTAAAAGATAGGCCTACCTTTCCACCCCAGACAGAGTAGGCCTACCGATGCAGAAAAATGAAAGCTTTAACTTCTGGCTACTCTTCTTCCATAGCTTAAACCAACCAGAGAAGGTCACAAGTGTTTCCCTAAAAGCTCTCTGGGTTTAAACATATTCTATTGTACAGAAAGTGAATAGCTTAACCAATTGATAGTGACAGAAATAGAATACTTCCCAAGCAAAGTCTATTTTTTTGTCTCCTCAGCTATCGAAGGTTGTGGCTCAGTCTCAATGTCAAAGAAATGAAACAATGATATCCCATCGAAGTCACGTCTTTCCCGGGTATTTTACACCTTGTTTCTAGCAAAAACCATTTCGGACCTAAGTTCTATTATAGATCACTTTATATAATCGGATCAGTTTTCATTGTCTTCAAAATCTTACGCTAACAATATGTATTCACCCCCTTTGCTATGAAGCCCCTAAATAAGATCTGGTGCAACCAATTACCTTCAGAAGTCACATAATTACTTAAATAAAGTCCACCCGTGTGCAATCTAAAAAAGCCATTGTTTAAAGAAAAAAATAAGCAAACACGTTTGGGAGACTCCCCAAACATGTGGAAGAAGGTACTCTGGTGAGATGAAACCAAAATTGAGCTTTTTGGCCATCAAGGAAAATGCTATGTCTGGTGCAAACCCAACACCTCTCATCACCCCGAGAACACCGTCACCACAGTGAAGCATGATGGTGGCAGCCATGCTGTGGGGAAGTTTTTCATCAGCAGGGACTGGGAAACTGGTCAGAATTGAAAGAATGATGGATCGCACCAAATACCGGGATATTCTTGAGGGAAACCTGTGGTTACAGTAAGTAATAGCTACAATAAAGCACTTCATAGCCTGAACATGGATGCACTGTTCTTCACAGGGTACAATATACAGTGGGGAGAACAAGTATTTGATGCACTCCCGATTTTGCAGGTTTTCCTACTTACAAAGCATGTAGAGGTCTGTAATCTTTATCATAGATACACTTCAACTGTGAGAGACGGAATCTAAAACAAAAATCCAGAAAATCACATTGTATGATTTTTAAGTAATTAATGTGCATTTTATTGCATGACATAAGTATTTGATCACCTACCAACCAGTAAGAATTCCGGCTCTCACAGACCTGTTAGTTTTTCTTTAAGAAGCCCTCCTGTTCTCCACTCATTACCTCTATTAACTGCACCTGTTTGAACTCGTTACCTGTATAAAAGACACCTGTCCACACACTCAATCAAACAGACTCCAACCTCTCCACAATGGCCAAGACCAGAGAGCTGTGTAAGGACATCAGGGATAAAATTGTAGACCTGCACAAGGCTGGGATGGGCTACAGGAAAATAGGCAAGCAGCTTGGTGAGAAGGCAACAATTGTTCGCGCAATAATTAGAAAATGGAAGAAGTTCAAGATGACGGTCAATCACCCTCGGTCTGGGGCTCCATGCAAGATCTCACCTCGTGGGGCATCAATGATCATGAGGAAGGTGAGGGATCAGCCCAGAACTACACGGCAGGACCTGGTCAATGACCTGAAGAGAGCTGGGACCACAGTCTCAAAGAAAACCATTAGTAACACACTACGCCGTCATGGATTAAAATCCTGCAGCGCACGCAAGGTCCCCCTGCTCAAGCCAGCGCATGTCCAGGCCCGTCTGAAGTTTGCTAATGACCATCTGGATGATTCAGAGGAGGAATGGGAGAAGGTCATGTGGTCTGATGAGACAAAAAATAGAGCTTTTTGGTCTAAACTCCACTCGCCGTGTTTGGAGGAAGAAGAAGGATGAGCAGTGGCGGCTCCTGAAAAAATTCTCAGGGGGGGCAATTTTTCTGATGATTTAGGTGACCTACACACATTTTAAAAAAGATATGTCCAGCAACAACATGAAGACAGGGGCAGCATATAAGTCAATACCAGAAGCATTTATTGACTGATCTCAAAAGTGTTGGCTTACCAGGGTTGGTGGAGCCCTCAGTTTCATCTTTGCCTCGCAAAGCTAACTCAAACACTC